AACTCTTCAGAGCTCAGCTAATAGCCCTCCTCAGAGAAACCATCCATTCGTGTCCCACAGGCTTAGATTGCCTCATGCTTTAAGAGCACCATGTATTCCCATGCTTTTGACCTTATAGATCCTCTAATTAATAATTTGTTTTGTAATTGGTTGTTCACATCTTACCACTTCCATTAGGATATAATTTCAAGAGGGCACTCTTGTATTCCCATTGTCTAATAGTGCTCTGCACTTGGTAGTCACTCAATAAATATCAGTTGAATAAGTGAGTCATCCAATAGGATAATGACAATAATTTATTGAGAATCAGACTCATTGTTATTTTTGACACACCATCTGGAGGTGTCCTATGCCATCTGGATCTATAAGGAATTTTCATTTAAACCAATATCTGGTATTAAGTCTATGTAATTTTGCTTAGTAGTTAAGGGTAAAAGAGAATGAAAAATGCTCATCTGTCCATATTCAAATAATGGATTTGGAGATAGAAGCATAGTGAAAGTGAAACTTTTAAACGTTCTTGGAAGAGCAAATGTTCGTCTGGTTTCGTGGTCAGCAAACTGAGGTTCATGAGCCACATGCGGCTCTTTGGCCCCTTGAGTGTGTCTCTTCCACAAAATACAATTGCCTGGGCAAGTCTATTTTGAAGAAGTGGCACTAGAAGAAGTTTAAGTTTAAAACATTTGACTCTCAAAAGAAATTTCAATTGTTGTGCTGTTGCTATTTGGCTCTGTTGACTAATGAGTTTGCCAACCACTGGGTTAGTTGGACAGGCCAACAGGAAGCAGCAATCACAGGCTATTTATCCCTTATCCGGTTCCTCTTCCGCTGAATACTATGGGGTTAATAGTTTTCCTCATAAGTCATCTAGGTCTCATTGTCTCCCATTGGCCATTAAAAAAAAAAATGGGCTGAGGCCTTTTCTAATTGTCTCCACCTCCCCGTTTAGTTGAGGTGGGGGTGAGATGTTTCGTCCTGGGAGCCTTGAGTGTTTCCACTGTGATGCTGGCTCACATACACAGATCTTTGTTCTTACATCTTCCTCCCTACATTCCGTTTGTCCTGGGGAAATTCAGTAACCATGTGGACTATGCTGAAGATGGATCACAGAGGCCTAGTTCCTAGAGAAGAATATGTTGATTGTGGCTTTTTGGATGTCATTATTTTGATATCAGTATAACGTAATTCTCCTTTTCTATCTCCATCCCTTGCTCTCCTTTTAAAAAAAATATATATTTTATTGATTTTTTACAGAGAGGAAGAGAGAGGGATAGAGAGTTAGAAACATCAATGAGAGACTGGAATCAAACCCGGGACCTTTCAGTCCGCAGGCCAAACCAGTTTTGGCATTCCTTGCTCTCCTTATTCTACCCCTCTCACTCCAATTACAGCTGACTTTAAATTTCTACTTTATTTTTTCATTATTTGATTTTTAAAAAATATTACAACAGTACAATAGAAATTTCTTTTGAGAGCCAATTTTTTAAAACTTAAACTTCTTTTAATGCCACTTCTTCAAAATATACCCATCCAGGCCGTGGTATTTTGTGGAAGAGACATACTCAAGGGGCCAAAGAGCCGCATGTGGCTGGTGAGCCGCAGTTTGTCGACCACGGCCCTAGGAACTATGTAAAGATATTGCTACAACAGATTGCTGCCTATGAAGTCTTGTAGGATTTGTATGATTTCCCATCTTACATTTAAGTCCTTTCTGAATATTATTTTTATGTTCGTAAAGATAATTAAAATTTTAAAATTTGATTGGAACTCGACTGGATACTAAGAATATATCCAATTCCCCAAATTATAATTTTATAGGCGTTTAATAATATTAATATAACACATGGTTCTATTAACTACGGAGAAATCTGTGGGAAATTTAATTAAATATTAACCATGCAATTTGGAGTTGAGAATAAGGGATCATATTGAATAAGGGATCATATCTGACATCCTGCTTTGCTCACTGTTTAATATATAGTCAGTCAAATATGGTTAGCATAACTAGGCAACCTGCAGAAAGTTCATTGTCTCAATTCCTCAAATGGAAAACAGATTGAATATCCTTATTCAGTTGATTAATCTATTTATTACCTGAAACTAATTTGAATGAACATTACAGCTAAAGAGAGTAATAAGAAAGCTTGAATTACAGACCATTATATAAAAATAAATTCACAGAGAATGAGTTGGCTCTGGACCTTCCTGATATAAGCAAGTCTAATAAACATTGGTGTGGTTTGTCTGCCAAGTTATGCTTAACCTTCATCCTGCCCCTACTCAGGGTGTAGGATGAGTAAAGGGGATTGGACTGAGAGAGAAGTGAATATGTCTACTGCTTACATTGCTTGATAATTTAAAAAATGCATAGTCTGTTTTTAGTTGCCCTTGAGTCAATGTGCACCTAATTGTTGCTCATAATGTTATGTACCAATAATACACATTATGGTGTTGATTGGATATGATGATCTGTAAATACAAGGACTTTGCTTTATATATTTTTGTTCCCTACTTTCTTCTATGTCATGGTATTCAGTTAATTTTATTTGAATGAGTGTATCAGGTTGCCCATATAAATTATCAATATTCATCTATGTTTTAACCTACAAAAATGACATTTTATATGGTTCAGTTTAATATAAATAAATGAATAGATGAACTTTGAGTTCATTTTTTACATAAGATAATATTTTAATCAAGAGTGAAACAAATTTTAAGTAAGGGAGAAAGAGAGAGAGAGAGAGAGAGAGAGAGAGAGAGAGAGAGAGAGAAAGATCGATCAATGATGAAAGAGAATCATTGATTGGCTGCCTCCTGCAGGATCCACACTGGGGATTCATCCCACAACCTGGGTATGTGCCCTGACCAGGAATTGATTCGGCGACTTCCTGGTTCATAGGTCAATACTCAACCACTGAGCCATGCCAACTGGACTATATGTACTTTGTTTAGGTACATAGTGAGTGATTTAAATAGATTTTTATGGCAAGCAGGAAAACTTAACCATAATTTAAATCATTGATTCTGCAGAAAACTGCATGTCAGCTATAAAACTTAAATATGAACGCTTGGTACACAATATATTCAGAGATTGGTGACATTAACCCTGTAGGAATTACCTTCATATTCTGACAGGGTAATTAATAGAAATTTATTTACTAGTTTTTTTATTTTTTTATTTAGGGCTAGCAATTAGTGATGGGTAGAGAATTAGGTGATAATCTCAGTGTTGTATTCTGTGTCCTTGAGGCATTAACTCATTGATGGAAATCCTTTTCACTGGGGAACAAGATCATTGGGTTCTGATAAAATGTAGGGAAATGCAGAATATACAAAGCAAACCTTTTTTCTAGGGTCTGATATATTTTGCATCAGAAATGTGTAATGAATAAAGCTCGTTTTTCATCATTATCTATTTTCTGATTTTAGGGTTTTGGGAATTTCCTAACTCATGGACTTTTAGTTCTCCAGGCACTCAGGAATATATGTGTTTCCATGAAAAACCTCATAATGTGAGTGGGCATCTGGTGTTGTTTCATAAGGATATACAGAAAGGGTGATGTTCCTGCCAAAGGTTGATGTAATCCACCATAATTTCAGCCTTTGGAAAGCAAAGGTAACAGTTTAGCTCAATCTTGCTCTACAGATAGGCAGATAAAACTTTCCAGGTGCCCATCTGAAATGGCTGCAGGGGCCTGGCAGTCTATGTACATGCTTTATTTTAGGGCAGCTTTTTAGTTAGAGGAGAGGAAGAGATAGAAGTTTGGATCATAAATTTTTATTTACTTTTTAAATCCCTGGAACATACAATAATAATAGCATCAATACTAATAATAAAAATAATGGGAAAAATCATAAAGAAATGGGGCTTGTTGCCGAGGGAAAGAATATTCTCAGGTGCAAATGTCGTTACTTCTGATTTTATTTTTTTAGATAAAAAGAGAAATACGGGAACTTTCACATATTCTGTTTCTGTTTGTCTGGTTAATATAAAGCAAGAGAAGCTCACAACACTCTTGATGCTCATAAATACAATAAGCTTCAAGCAGCTTTGTTGTTTTTGCCTTGTTAAAAAAGAGACCTTGAGATTATTTATTAGTGCATCAAGAAATCTTATATGAGTTAACTTTTAAAAAACTAACGAAAAACCCTATTAATCCTATGGAACTTAATTAAAAAATCAGATAATGAATAATGTGATTGCCAGTGCCAACGGTTCTTGAAAAAAATACAATGATTTTTTTCTTTTTATTGACATATATTTAAAATATGTAATAAAATTTGCAACAATATGTTTTGTATCTTCATTTTGTGTGTGTGTGTGTGTGTGTGTGTGTGTGTGTGTGAGAGGGAATGAGAGTGAGTGTATGTGGGTGTGTTTGCCATCAAGAGTAACATTTTTTATTTTGACTGCATAAAATTTAGAAATGCTAAACAATAAACAGTATCTTAGACAAGAAAGAAGAAGAAAGCACTATAAATTGGAAAGAATGCTAAAGATTTCTAATCTATGAATTTAGGGCTAAACTATCCTATGATGTTAGGACTAAATTATGAATTTAGGACAGAAATAATGAAAATATTTAGTAGTTTGAATACGGTGTTGACCTATAAAGTTTATTTTTTTGGCATTGCTTTTAAAACCAATGAAAATTTGTTCAGGTACACATTAAACCATTTCTATAAATTTGTAATAATAGCCATATTAATACAATTATGGTCTCTGTTTAAATGTCAATGGTTTAGGTAATAGTGGTCATTTAAATCAAAATACAATACTTTTAATATATAATTCTGAAGAGTCTTATGCGGAATACTGTATTCATGAGAATTATATGAACGAATCTATATTTAAATAATACTCCTGTAAAGTTATAATGCTGTAAACTACTAAGGGTAACTGTGACATCAATTTAGAAAGAATAGTAAAACTAGAGAGAGATCAATCAGAACTATTGGAACAGAAACACTGGCAGATGTTGTGCACTGGTTGTTGGGGTTCAGGTCCCATCAGATGTGGAGGCTGAGTCACAACTGCAGATGACACTGGATTCTTGAGCTCTTCCTGTGTGACCTTCCTCCTGAGGACTAGATGATCCATGGCCTGACACTTTAGGCCTCTGTGGGCTGTGGGGAAGAGCAGCAGGAATGAAAGGGTCACTTGGGAAAGGCTGGAACTTGGACTTGACCTCAGCCAGCATTTGCTTGTTGTGTTCATTTTCTCTCCATAGGTACTGGAGCTTTCTCTCAGTGATCTTGGCTGCCATGCAGGCTTCTTCAGCTCTTCTCTGATGGTATCGAATCTCATTTTCATAGTAGAAAGTGCTTCTTCGTAGTTCCTGATTCATGTCTTGGACCATATTCCTGTACATGTTCATGAACTGGTAGTTGGAGTTCATGTTTCTCCAGGTGTTGAAACACTTCTTTTCCATTTCGAAGCCGTGCATTTCTGCCTCAAACAGCTTTTTCTGTAATTGTGTTACAGGGTCTTCATCAGGAGCAATTTCAAGCTTCAGCTTCAGCTGTTGAATCTCATCTTGTAGGCTTGAATTTTCACGCTGCAAAGATGCTTTCTCGGTTTTCAGATTCGTTATTTCTGCTACGAGCTCTTCATTCCTTTGCTTTTGCTCCCACACTTGTCTGGCTATGTCCTGATGTCCCTGGTCAGCGCTTTGAAGGGACAGACTGACGTCAGCATCATGAGGGACGCCCTTGAGATCAACTTCCGACTCATGGATGAATTGACCTCCTTTTTCTGCTTCCCTCTTTTGTGGGAATTTCAAGTTCCCGTCATACAGGTGATGTCCAAGGTCGTCAGGCTTGGGGTTTCCAGCCACTGACATTGACTGGCCGCCTCTGACTTTCAGGACCTGCCCCATTCCTGTGTTTGCCTGCCCCAGCCTCTGATCCCCCTCCTCCTTCTCTTGGATTTCCTGCTTCCATCCCACAATTTCTCCTTGGCACAGTTTTGGACTTTCTGGATAATAAAAACTTTTGTTCAAACCATCCCTTCTGTTCTTCGGAAGTGGTTCTCCATCCATCCCCGGTGCTTTTGGGATGGGCTTTTCATCAGTCCCTTGGGAAAGTTCAGGAGGTTGGCTGCTGCGTGCTGCTTTCTGTCGGTAAACCGTGTCCTGAAGTGGCAGCTTGCTCAGGTGTTTACTCAGTGCCCTCAAGCACAAAGTCTGCAACAGGAGGGGACTGGCCCCCTCACCAGGGCACATGAGGGCGTGGTTGACTCCTGTGATGGGTCCAGTGTTCTCACTGCATCTCGCACAGACTGTGCGGCGGGCAGAGCACCTTGCACCCGGTGTCTTCACACTTCTTGAAGCGCGTCGTCCCTTCAGGATGACAGACACCACCACCAGAGTGCCCACCAGGATCCCCCAGGGGAACGCAGCGGGACCGGGGATGAGTCTCAGGCTCTCCGGAATCCCCAGCAGAGCCCCGCACAGGCGCTGCAGGACCAGCTGGAAGGCGGATGCGGTGGCAGGCAGCAGGCCCTCCATGGCTGGTGGGGCTCTGGCTCCGCCTCTGACCGCCAGGGTCTGGTGGGCACAGACCGCTCAGAACCCTACAGAGTGTTCTGTCTCCAAGGGGACCGGGTGCCCAGCAGCCAGGGCTGGTCAGTTGGGCTGGGGGAGGGGAGGCCGGTGGTTCTAGAAAACAGTTCCTAACTTGGCTCTGAAATGGGACGGGGTGAAGAACCAGTAAACTTGAATGGAAAGTACAGAGAGTTCCCATGTGCCCCTGACACCCCGCATGAAGAAGCCCGTGCTATTGGAATGACTGTGGGACAGCTTTACAGCCAACGGGGGATGAATGGATATGGGCGCACTGTTGTCACTAAAGTCCCTGTACATTAGGGTTCAAGCTTTGCGTTGCACAAGATGTGTTTTTTTGACAAATGTGTGATGTCTGAACTCACCTTTATTGTCCCACGGAATGTTTTCACTGCCCCAAGAATCCCCCCTGCTCCACCAAGTCATGCCCTTCCCCTGAACCCTGAGGTTTTTCTTGCTCTCTTCTCTGATATCAATACAGCGATTCCAGCTTTTTAAATTAGTCGCAATATGGTGCCTCTTGTCCATACTCTTCACCTTGCTGTGCCTTGTAAAGTGGGTTTTTTAAAGGCAACTTTATAGTTGTTTTTATTCCCACCCCCCCTCACCATTTATCCCCTCTACACCCTCTTCCACTCACCACCTCAATCACCACACTATTCTCCATGTCCATGAGTTCTCTCTCTCTTCTTTTTTTCTCAGTCGCCCCTCCTCCCCATAGCAGAGCTGTCGGTTTGCTCTTTATAATTCTGTCTCTATTTTGCTTGGTAGTTTAGTTCGTTTATTAAATTCCACATGTGAGTGAAATCATTTGGTACTTGCCCTTCTCTGACTGGTTTATACCCATTACCATATTGTTCTTGCTGTAGCAAAAAGTAAAATTTTCTTTCTTTTGAAATTTTCTTTCTTTTATCAACATGGTGTAAACGTATCATAACTTTTTTTATCCACTCATTTACTGATGGACACTTGGGCTGCTTCCAAATCTTGTGTACATAGGATTACATGTTTTTGAATTAGTGTTTTGGGTCTTTAGCTAAATTCTCAGAAGTGGCATTGCTGGGTCATAAGAAAGATCTATTTTTAATTTGTTGAGGTAACTTCATGTTGTTTTCTACCGATCTGCATTTCCAAGAACAGTGCACGAGAGTTCCCGTTTCTTCACAGTTTCACCAACACTTGTTATTGATGACAGCCATCCTGACAGTATAAGATGATATCTCATTGTGGTTTTAATTTGCATGTCTCTGATGATTAGTGACCTTAAGCATCTTTTTGTTTCTATTGGCCATATGTATGTCCACTTTGGTGAAGTATCTATTCAGGTCCTTTGCCCATTTCTTAATTGGTTTCTTTTTTTTTTTTTTTTTTTTTGTGTTGAATCGTGTAAGTTCTTTATAAATTTTGAAACTTAACCCCTTATCAGATGAATATTAGTAAATATGTTTTCCCATCCAGTGCATTTTATTTTCATTTTGTTGATGATTTCCTTTGCTATGTTAAAAACTTTAGTTTGATGTACTCCCATTTATTTATTTTTTCTTTTGTTCCCTTGCCTGAAGAGACATATCAGAAAAAATATTGCTATGAGAAATGCCCATGCCCATGATTTTACTGCCTACGTATTGTTCTAGGATTTTTTTTTTTTTAAATCATTTTGAGTCTAACAATTAATTAGGTCTTTAATCTCTCTTGAGTTTATTCTTGTGTGCTATGTAAGAAGCTGGTCTAGTTTCATTCTTTTGCAAAAATCTGTCCAATTTCCCCAGCACCATTTATTGAATAGACTATCTTTAGTCCATTGCATATTTTTGCCTCCTTTGTCAAATATTAATTGACTATAAAGACATGGGTTGATTTCCAGGTTCTCTATTCTGTTTCATTGATCTATATTTCTGTTTTTATGACAGTACCATGCTCTTTTGATTACTACAGCCTTATAGTATAGTTTGATATCAGGTAGTGTGATTCCTCCAACTTTGTTATTCTTTCTCAAGATTGCTGTGGCTATTCGGGATCTTCTGTGGTTCTATATTAGCTTTTGAAACACTTGTTTTAGTTCTGTGAAATACACCATTTTTCTTTGATATAAATGGCATTGGATCTGTAGATTCCTTTGGGTAGTATGGACATTTTAATGATGTTAATTCTTCCTATCCATGAACATGGTATATGCTTCCACTTATTTGTCTCTTCCTTAATTTTTTTCTTCAATGTCTTACAATTTTCGAGTACTGGTCTATTATACCCTTGGTTAAATTTATTCTTAGGTATTTGATTCCTTCTGAAGCAATTATGAATGAGATTTAAATTTCCATTTATATTAGTTTATTATTCAACTGATTTCTGGATATTTATTTTGTATACTGCTACTTTACTGTATTCATTTATCAGTTCTAGTAATGTTTTCGTTAATCTTCAGGGTTCTTTATATACAATTCTTTATATGATGTCAGCTGTAAATAATGAAAGTTACTTGTTCCTTTCTAACCTGGATACCTTTTATTTCTTCTTCCAGCTCTTGGTTTCATTTCATTGTCTGATTGCTGTGGCTAGGACTTTCAGAACCTAAAAGTGATGAAATATTTGCATAATAGTGGTGAAAGGAGAAATCCCTATCTCATTCCCAGTCTTAAGGTAACACTTATAGTTTTTGTCCATTGAAAATCACATTGGCTATAGGTTTGTTATATATGGTCTTTATTATGTTGAAGTATGCTCCCTCTATCCCACTTTGCTAAGCATTTTTTAAAAAAATCATAAATGGTTGCTGGACTTAATAAAATGCTTTCTCTGCATCTATTGATATAATTATTGGTTTCTATCTTTCAAGTTGTTTATGTGATGTACTAGTATCATGTTTATTGTTTTTCGGACATTGTAATAGCTGCTTCCTGGAATAAATTCCACTTGTTCAAGATATATGATCTTTTTAATGTATTGCTGGATTCTGTTTACCAATATTTTGTTGAGGATTTTATTTTTATTTTTTATTTTATTTATTTATTTAAAAAATATTTTATTGATTTTTACAGAGATGAAGAAAGAAGGGTAGAGAGTTAGAAATATCAATGAGAGAGAATCATCAATCAGCTGCCTATTGCATACGCCCTACTGGGGATATGCCCGCAACTAAGGTACATGCCTTTGACTAGAATTGAACCTGGGACCTTTCAGTCCATAGGCCGATGCTCTAGCCACTAAGCCAAACTGGTTTCAGCTTGTTGAGGATTTTAGTATATGTTTTTGTCAGGAATATATATCTATAATTTTCTTCCTTTATCATGTCATCTGGTTTTGGAATTAGAAAAATTTTAGCACTGTAAATGAGTTTGGAATTTTTCCCTCCTCTTGAATTTTTAGGGATAGTTTGAGAAGAATAGATGTTAGTTCTTTGTATGTTTGGTAAAATTCACCTTAAAAGTGGTCTGGTCAAGGGCTTTTGTTTGTTGGAAGTTTTTTGATTATTGCTTAAATTTTACAAGTAGTAATCTGTCTATTGAGATTCTCTGATTCTACCTGATTTAGTTTTGGAAGGTTGTATGTTTCTAGGAATTTTTCCATTTCTTTCAGATAGTTCAATTTGTTGGTATATAGTTGTTTATAACATTTTCTTACAATCCTTTGCATTTATTTGGTGTTAGTTCTCCTCTTTCAATTCTGATTTTATTTATTTGTGTCCTCTCTCTTTTTTTCTTGATGAGTTCAGTAGAAGGTTTGTCAATCTTATTTATTTTTTCAAGGAACCAGCTCTTGGTTTCATTGATTCTTTTTTAGATTATTTTATTTATTTTTGCTCTGATCTTTATTATTTCCTTCCTTCTACTCTGGGTTTTTTTTATTGTTCTTTTTCAAGTTCTTTTAAGTATAAAGCTAGATTGTTTATTTGAGCTTTTTCTTATTTCTTGAAACTGCCTATAATACTATGAATTTCCCTTTTAGGACTGTTTTCTCTGTGTCCCACAGATTTTGTGTTGTGTTCTCATTTTCATTTATTTCAAGGTATTTTTTGATTTCTTCCTTCATCTCATTGTTAACCCATTCATTGTTTATTAAGATGTTAGTGTCCATGTCTTTATGTGTTTTTCAGTTTTCTTCTTGTGATTGATTTTAAATTTTATAGCATTGTGGTCAGAGAAGATGCTTGGTTTGATTTCAATCTTCTTAAATTTATTGAAACTTATTCTGTGTCCTAATATGTGGTTTATCCTAAAAAGCATTCCATATGCACTTTAAAAGAATGTATAGTCTGCTTTGGGATGGAATACTCTGAAGATATTGGTTAAATCCATTTGATCTAGTGTGTTATTTAAGGCTGCTGTATCCTTGTTTATTTTCTGCCTGGAAGATTTATCCATTGATGTCATGGGGTATTAACATTCCCCACTACAACTGTATTGCTCTCAATCTCTCCCTTTATGTCTAACAAGTTATGCTTTATATGTTTAGGTGCTCCTGTGTTGGGTGCACAAAAGGTTACAGGATTATATTCTCTTGAATTGCTCTCTTTATCATTATGTTGTGTCCCTCTTTGCCTCTTATTATAGAATTAGGTTAAATTTTATTTTGTCAGATATAAATATTGCTACTCCCACTTTTTCTTCCTTTCCATAAAATGTCTTTTTTCATCCCTTTTAGCCTGTGTGTATCTTTTGTTCTGAGGTGGGTCTCTTGAGGCAACATGTACATGGGTCTTGTTTTTTTTACCCATTCCGCTACCTTATGTCTTTTTATTGGAATATTGCAGCCATTTACATTTAATGTGATTACTGATAGGTACGTATTTATTGCCATTTTACTTTTTAAACTATGTTCTGTGTTTTCCTTCTTCTTTTGCTTCTTAAAACAAACACTTTAACATTTCTTTTAATAAATTTTTGGTGGTAACAAACATGTTTAGCTTTTTTCTTATATGGGAAGCTCTTTATTTCTCCTTAAATTTTAAA